TAGGCAAGCTAATCAGTCAGGAAAAGCAAATCTTGTGTTTGAAAAAAAAAACCAAAAAAAACAAAAACCATCAACAAACGAGTCAGGCACTTCTATCTAGGAGATGGCTTGGGGTGCAAAATTCATCTCACCTAAGGCTTCAGATGTAAGCTCATAAGAATCATGATAAAAAGGAATTTAAAACATAATCCCCTTTTCAGTTGCCTAAGGCTCTCCCATTTCAGGCTGCTGGCTGTTTTGAACTCTGCTCCTGTAACATAATGATCCTTGTGAATTAGTATACCATGACTTTCAGTATCTTTGTTCATATTCGTGTCCTGGTTCTGGAACTTAAAACTTAGCCATATCATCACTGCCTGCCTTTGTGTGAATGTAGTCCTTATTCCATACGTAAACTTGAGCACAAAAATGGCTAATCTGTTCAGTATGTAAAAAGGGTTCTAGAATCAACTTACGAAGGGAAGAGTTCAGTAGCCAACCACTCCACTTTGTTGGTTCTGTTGACATTTTTAAAGAAATTAATTTTTAAAATTGAAGGACATTAAAGATATTAACGAGAGACTACCTTTTTTTTTTTTTCATCTCTATAAGGGGACATATAATTTCTATAATGAGAAACACCCTATTCACAAATCTGAAATTTTCAATTTGAGCCTCAAAAGCTTAATTATAGACTTGCTAGATTGTGTTTCAGGTAGTAAAGTGTGCATTTCATTTCAAAGTTCCTATTTGCTTGAAAAAGAAAGGACTAATGAAAAATAATTTTCATTTTTGTGTCAATAATTGTCAAATTCATTCATTTTGTATTCTAGTAAGGTAGAAATATTACACACAGTGACAAAAATCTTTGCTCCTTGTAAGTCATAAGAATTTCACACTCGCTTTCCCAAAATTAGGACTTGATCCCAGTATTGTGGGGATCAGTTCATATCAATGAATTAAGATAGCAATTTGAATTTGATGAAATTCTGTGAGATTACCAGGCAGTTGTTTAATTCACTGAGGTATCACTGCAAGACAAAACTCCCACTTACCTGTTAGCATATTCTTTTCTCATGTTAAGGTATGTGCTATGAAAACAGTCAAAGCTATTTCTGGCAACTACACAAACTATTAAAAGAAAACAGAGTTTTGTACTATTTCCATTAAAAAAACTTCTCCTTTCTTACTCATTCTATAAATGCTATAGGAGTCAATTATCAAGGTAACTCAAATCTCCTGAGATAGATGGTCTACCTTTTTGGGGCCTCTCCAGCACAGAAGTTTCCTGACCATTCTTTTTAGTCTTCTTTGGAGGTCTGTAACAATTTTCTATGGACGTTTTACTACTTCTTTTAGCCCCATTTTGTATTTGTCGCATTAACTAACCCACATATGCAATTTTACTCAACATACCACAACTTCTAATTAAATCATCACATCATTTCTTGTCCTCCGAATTTGCCCCCTCATTTAATTCTGTATTCCTGTATTTTAATATTAAGGCAGCTAACCAAGAGCCAGTCATCTGTTTAATGTTTTGTTCTGAAACATCCCTTCATGTTTTTCACATTTTACACAGATTCTTTTCATAAAAGTGAATCTCCTTTCTTTTCTTTAATGCAGTGCTTTCTACCTATATTATTCACTCCAACTTAAAAAATTACTTATCCTCTAAATATTGGCTAATCTCTCTTCCATCTTTCACTACCTATCCTTTTGCTAAAACAACACACATAAAACTGAATACTAGAATTACAAGGCTACTTCCCTGCTAATTTCTTATACAGATATGGTCTGTCAGTTCTAGATGACTTTGGACCAGCCCCAAACAAAAGAAAATATTCTGGGTAGTATAATCCTGCATGGAACAATGTGATCTGTATAAAAAATCACTTACTGAATCACTAGCACCTCTCTCCACTCCTAGGAGATCTCCCATCGAAGTAATGCCTGAATTAGTGTAGAGTGATTTGTGGCTTTCCAGCTGTCAGTCATTAATTCTTAGGAAACACAATATACAATGCAATAGTACTCAGTTGAAGGTTGTAGTCTGCACTGCTTTAGGAACAGTGTAATTTACCTGCTGAATATTCTTGAAAACTGTTTTCAAGCAATAACCGCAGCCCATTATTTCTATAACCCCTCAATCACATTTCACTCCTGATGAAATATTGTGTTGGTCACAAAAACTCATAAAGCAGGCAGGGTAAGGAATTCCATCCATGGAGAATCTGGTCTATAAAACAAATTACTGAGTTGAAGACAACAGTTTTGCTCCAGAATTTTAAGTTGCCCACTCATGTTTCTTTGGCAGAGAGGAAAACAGAGACAAACCCAGCAGCAGGGACTACAAAGTGACTTGGAATTCTAATCCACCTTTTTCATTTACAATCCAACTGACCAGTAACTGTTGCCCTATTTTAGAAATAATATTGAATAGCTATAATTCACTGCTAACTGCCCCATCTCTTCAAACAAAGCCATTACTTAGAGCCAGCACTAGAGGCAGGATGTGTTGTGACATTCCAGACCCATTTGAGTATCCAAGAGTCTGGGGACTTACCTTCAGGCCAAGCCAAGGAGCTGCTTGCATAAATCCAGCCAGGGAGACTGTGTAATGCCTGCTTCATCAAGAAATTTTGGCAAAATCTATGACAAGCTCAGTTCAGCCAAAAACACAGCACCTTTAGGCATGCACTGTAGCAGAACTTGAGCACATAAGGAAGTTTGCTGTTGGAAGCTCAGGCACCTCTGGCTTCCCAGGAATCAGAGAAGGCTGCCTAGGGATTTTTTTTTTCAGGTCTACTGCTTTCTTGAATTTACCTGTTAAATAGTCTGAACTGCACGTTGGCAACCTAAGATTTTTTTTCCCCATTTAACTCTTCCAGAGTTAAGATGTAAATAAAAAGATAGCAACATGATGTAAACACAAAATGAGTATCACAACTAATACCAGGGTTAACAAAGCATAACCATAGCTCAGTGTTTATTAGGCACCATGACAGCAATTATTTTAAGGAAGGATTTGAAAACAATCCTTCAAACATTTTTATGGCAAACTCCTCCCATACTCAGGGGTTTTCATGCCTTTAGCTATTACATCTGCAACTGAAGCTAACTGTGAAATTGGCAATTTATTTATCCCATGGCACATACACACATATTTGCAATAGTAAAAGTGAGTAAGGGTCTATAATGAATACTATAATAATAATAACATACTATGTTAGAACCCTTTTAAATCAGATTTTGTCATCCAGCATTTAATCAAATACCTGCAGAGATTCTCATGCTGACTGAAACACTTCTGTGTTCTTTCTTGTTGCCTTTATCACTAACATTGTTAATAAGATGCTGTTATTTTCTAAACAAAATAATAAGAGCAGTGCCAAAACAAAAAGACAGTACAAAGAAAAGTTGACCTTAAAAGTAACACCAAGAACTGCAAGGAAGCAGAAAGTGCCATTAAGTATAAAACTTAACAATACTGGCTCTCCTAAGGAATGCATGTACCTGTGAAAGTATTTTTCATTAAGATGCTATCCTTACAAAAATTCCATTAGAATTTGTAGTCTATTTTTTGTATTGTTATATTATTTAAAAACAAAACAAAACAAAAAACTGTTATGGAAATTAAGTATTCCTGATAACTTACCTATGAATTTCAAGTAAGATTGAACAAGGTGCAAAGTTGCTTGAAAGATGAAATTCATAAACATAAAAGAATACTGAAAGTGTGAAATAATTATCTATACCATCCTGTGTACATGACTGTCAATAACTGAGGCTTATCAATCTGAAATCAACATGTAATAATGCATTATTCTGTTTTATATTTAGATGTATCTGTAAAACAGAGATTTTAGTTTAATGAACAATGAATGTATAGACGTTCCTAAAAAAAGTGGAATCTGAGACATCAGAATAAAAAGTATTTTATCTCTCTCATTCATGCAACATAAATGGAATTTATTCATCATGAACGTTTCTTAGTGTTTTTGTATGGAATTGAAGATAATATCAGAATTCAGAACTTTCTATTTCATGCAAGGTAGCAGAATATGCTTTGACATTTTCTTGAAAAAAAAAAAAAAAACTAATTTTTTTACAGTCGTAGTTTTTTGTTTGTTTGCTTTTCAAAAACAAAAGCAGTAATTTTCTTTTTACAGAGCCCAGGATATGGTTGGCTTTCTGGGCTGTGAAGGCAGCCCAGACACAACATGCTGGACATGAGCCAGCAACGTGCCCTCACTGCACAGGAAGCCAACCATATCCTACGCTGCATCAAAAGAAGCATGGCCAGCAATGCAAGGGAGGTGATCTTGCCCATCTACTCTGCACTGGTGAGGCCTCACCTGGAATACTGCATCCAGATGTGGAGTCCTCAGTACAGGAAAGACATGGGCCTGATGAAGCGCATCCAGAGGATGGCCAAGGAAATGATTCAAGGAATGGAACACCTCTCCTACAAGGACAGGCTGAGACAGCTGGGGCTGTTCAGCCTGGAGGAGAGATGGCTCCAGGGAGATCTGATAGCGGCCTTTCAGAATCTAAAGGGGAGCTACAAAAAAGAAGGAGACATACTCTTTAGTGAGGTCTGCAGTGATAGGACACGAGGAAATAGTTTGAAACCAAATGAGGGGCAAATTTAGGTTGGATATAAGGAAACAGTGAGGGTCACTGTTAAAGTCACTGGCATACACTGCATAGAGATGTAGTGGAAGCCCTGCCCCTGGAGACATTCAAGGCGAGGCTGGACCAGGCTATGACAAACGTGATCTAGCTGTGGATGTCCCTGGTTTTTGCAGAGGAGATGGATGACATGATCTTTAAAGGTCCCTTCCAACTCCAAGGATTTATGATTGTATAATACCTGTAGACAGTTTGAAAAGTGAACAATAGTTGCTGAAAGTTTAATGAGTGGCTCCTCTCCTTTAAAGGTAAGATTTTTAAAAAACAATTTTACTTGAATTAAGCTATTATTTCTATCATGACTTTAAAATAAGAACCCATGTTACCTGTATGGCTGTGAGGATATTGGCTAGCGCCTGCCCATATGTATCATGGCAGTGAACAGCAAGGGCATTCAGAGGGATTTCCTTCATAACAGCTTCCAACATTCTTTTCATACTTCCAGGAGTCCCCACACCAATTGTGTCCCCCAAAGAGATTTCATAACAGCCCATACTGTACAGACGTTTAGACACCTGATCAGAAACAGAAACAACAAGACATCAAGATGAAAGAGTGAAAATAAGGTCCAGAATATACATTAAAAAGAGTACACTTCTCTACAGTTTTAGTGTTAGTCACAATGAGTGGGCCTATATATAAGAAAACCTCTATTCATTCTTCAAAATTGCACCCCAAGAAGAACATCCCATAGATCCTCTCCTTTTCAAGTTTATAGGTCCGTTTCTACATATAGAAAAACCAGCCAAGCAATCCATCAACAACTGCTGACTCTCCCACATAATCTAAATAAGATAGACTTTACACTGTGAACTAAGATTCTGTCAAACCCTTTCCCAGCATTTTCCTCTCTCTGGGCACTTCCCAGCTGTTTGTTTTTCTCCATGTACTTTCCAGATTACAAACTGTGTAGGGTAAAGATCTGTCTTTTTGTTTGCTTACTATACAGAATCAAGCATGTGGCTTAGTTAAGACAATAAATAATTAAGCAGCTTGATTTGGCTTTGTCTTGGTACTGAAAACATCAATGAAAACTGAAGTTTTAAGATGCTTGCTTTTCATGAAGCCATTCATTAAAATACAAATAAAAGCAAAACTTTAAGTCAATTAATATTCAAGTTTTTAAGTCCTATTTTTTTTTTCTTTTAGTAACAAACAAAACCCCATACTTGTTGCTGTTCTTACAGAAACAGTGCCCTAAATGTTTCAGGAATTATGTCTTTGCTGAGTTCACTGTGTAAATATGAGATCAGTTTGCACGAGGAGAGACATACACAAGAAAGCAGCAATTATGTTTGCACCAAATATATTGCTTTAGAAATTGAATGTAGGAATTTTCTATTTTAACTTTGTCAAATCTATTTGGAAAAGGCTTCAAGTGATTTACACGTGCTGAGTATGTTTGCCTCCTTTAGCATTTCCCACTGTGCATCAGCGATCCCAACAGGCCCCTCCATTGGAGAGGAATCCTGATCTGGACATCAACTGTTCAGAAACAAAAAAACATGACTCTTCTCCAAGACAACTTTGGTTGCACTGCTCTTAGCTGTTAATTCCAAGACTTCATCAGCAGGATTGCTGTGAATATGTCTGAGGAAGCTGACAAAGTGCTGCGTTAGCAGTCCCAGAAAAACTGGATCAATATTGTTCACTTAATTCAAAGAACAGCTGAAAAAGAAGTTCAAGTGGTCTGAGTTGTCTTGCTTAAAGCCTGTAAGTGCTACGACCATTGCAAATGTAATAAAATTCCTGCTTTACAGTCGAAGAATCCTTTGGTCTTATCAATATATATTCCATATATACTTAGGAAAAGGAGGGACATTCACCAGATTGCAAAAATGAATTCTAACTGCATCAACACACTGCATATAAACTGGATCTATTTAAACTGGACTGCTGTTGTAACACAAAATGGATCAACTGCAGTTAGAGGTGAATTACCCCCAGTTAGTCCCCAAACATCAGTTTTTGTTTTGTTTGTTTTCACATTCTTCTCCATGCTTGATTCATTTTATAGGTATTTTAGTGATGACCAGGAGAGTATATCAACTGCTAGAAATCCTATTGGATTCCCTTCAATCCTTTGCTGAGTTCTTCTGTCTGCAGCTCCCTGAATATATAGTCCTGAAAGAAGAAAATAGGAAACTCTGCTAACAAGCTGAGCTCATTATTGTCTTAGAGACACAAGAGAAACATGTTTAGTTTCAAGAAGAATGTGCATGCTTAAGAAATGAATGAGTTTTTCATGCTGAATTTTCTAATCTACCATACTAAGAGGCAGCTCATTAGTTATAAAATTTTGTAACTTTTCGGTATAGATTTTTGAGAATGTGTTATAGGTTTTTAATTGGACAGTTGTATTTTGCACTACTGAAGAGTTTTTCTCTGCATCAGCCTTGGGCTGCTCCCTCTGGGAGTACTGCCCTGACACCAAGCACTGATCAAAATGGAAGTTGGTGACCCAACACTGCAACCCCAGAGGCATGTGAATAATTCCACTGTTGCAAAGAAAATCTAAAACTATACTCTTAAATTTAATAAAAAAGTTCTTAGTCTAGTTACTAATACTTTTAAGTGAGTAACAACAAAAAAACACTCTGCAGTCTTTGTGATGCAAGAGAAACTGCAATAACATAAAACAATGTTAAAAAAAGATCAAGTACATTTTCTGTAGTCTGATCAGTGAATGGAAATTACTCCATAGTTAATAACAATATGAATAAATACTATTCTGAATAAATATTTATATGGAAAACAGTTAATCAGAGACTATTCCAAGAAGAAGCAGACTTATAAAAAAGATTATCTAGTTTTATTTTAATACATTAAAAATGCTTTGTTTTGGTTTGGTTTTTTTTTCACTTTCAAATAAAGAACTATATGCATGAACCAGATGTATTCTATATGCATATGAAGCTTGGAGTCAGTAGATAATTGTAAAGTAGTTATGACCTAGTAAGCTTGAAATGCATGTAGGTTGATGATCCACCTCTCTCTGCTAATTGCTTTTGCTTCAGTTAAAGCTTCTGTTTAAAAAAAAAAAAAAAAAATCTGTTCTCTCTCATGACAGCATCAAAATAGCATAAACCTTTCAATCATAGCTGTTGATTACCGTGCACAACCAGACGCTCCCATCCCAAAAAAGATGATGACCCAAGAGGCAGATCTCTGACAGGTTGAGCAACAGGGCCAGTAATTTTGATCATTTTGGTTCAGCAAAGGATGAGTGCAGATGTTCACATAAAATCCATTAACAGCTAATCAGATATTTCTATAAAAACATGAATGCTTGCTGAATCAAGGCCTGAATTAGTAACTTTAATGAGGAAGCTTTCATTCTTAAACTCATACACAATGGTGTAGAGGTACACAAAAAGCCACATACTAAGATTTAGACATAAGATAGCTGTGTATGTAAATATACACATGTTTGGAATGTTAGATAGCACTCCCACTGTAAATCTGAAAAGGGGCTTTTCTGCACAAGGACTATACCTAGTTTAAGAAAACAAGCAACACATGGAAGGAAGCCTGTTGGGGAACATGATATTGCAGTAAGCAATTTACCAACAGCACAGCTGAATCTGTCATCACCGCTCTAAGTAAAGCTGCGTCACTTCTAATTTTCACTTCATATTAAAACCAATTAATTTGGAAATACTGAGTACCTTCCAATTTAGCTATTTTTTCAAAGAGTTCAAGTATCATATGGCTGCTGTGGGAGCAGAATTATCACAAGTTCCATCTGGAATGTACACCAGAAGAAGATGCATGAGAATTGGACCTGAAAGCCACACAAGGAGAACACAATAAATCAGACAAATGTTGACTAGCTGTTAGTGCTACCAAAAAAAGAAGTGCTTTGCAGATTTTGCTAAATCATCAAAAATAGGTGATTAAGTGTAACAGAGAAGACAAATCTTTCTCCAGGAGGAAAGTTGCGTTCTGCCTTGTGCTGCTTAAATTCATGTCACCCTCAGTGCACTCTGCATCTTCCTGAGAAATGTAACACTTGTGTTCTACTCCCCAGTTTTTTCTGTCTGCTAGCTCTGCTAGCAAAGAAAAGGCTGGACTTCATTGTCCTTTATCCAAAATGGAAAAAATCGGTGGAGAGAGGTGTACTTTATCACAGGAGCATGAGTTAAGTTGTAGAAAATCATGTTGGGCATGAGTTCATGTGTCAGTCATGTGATTTGTATGACATGCCAAAACACAAAGTTTTACCTGTGACTCTGCTGGCTGACTGTAAGAGCATACTCTCACCAGCGTAGAGTGGATCATCTCATACAACTTGGTACACCGACACATATGCTTGGATCTACTTCTTTAAGTGTTTCCTTACTTTCTTGTTGAAGGAAATAGTACATTATACATTTTCTCATGACTGAAAACAATCAAAACACACAATTTTCCTTAGATTTGACCACAGATGGTAGAAAAAATAGTGATGTTTTGCACCCACTTTTAGTATTAGCTGCATTTTGTGTTTGTTTCTCCTGTTATTCGTTGAAGATCTTTTTTAGGATTAATTAGATAACATGACTTATAGACATTTTCAAAGATATATTAATTTCATTAAAAAGAAAAGCTATAATTTCACTCTTACTTCAGCCACTTTAGCTGGTGTGATGTCTCCTTCATATGGGCATCCCAATGCACAAGAAACATACCTACAGTAAAAAGAACAACACACAAAGATGCTTCTGTTCTATATATGCATTTCTGTAACCGTCCATGCTACATTTAAAAAAAAAAAAACAAAAAAACTCAAATATAATTTTGAACAATTAAGCTAGTCAATGTAGAATAAAGTTCTCAATGAAAAGTTAAAATTACATTAGATGAAAACAGCAGGTTTCCCAAATTTCTTTTTAAATCACAGAAAAAGACTTATAGTTTTATTTATGCTCAATGTATGTTACAAGTTGTAAAGCACTGGCAATGCAGCCAAGTTAACTCTGCTGCAGGAAACTTCAGTTTTTCTTGGTATTTCCTTTATAAGTTACAAGAGTCCACTCAAGTTTTGCCTTGCCTGGCCCACACAAGCTATTCAGAGGAAGCATCCTAACACTTCCTTCCTTGTGCCTGCTATCTGGATCACAGAGAGCAGTAGAAGGACATATGCAACTTAAAACCACCTCACCACTTCATCAGTAGTTGGAACTGCAGTGAATAGGATAGCTTTGGCCCTTTGTGCTGGCATCTCTGTCCCAGTGCCCCAGGAGAACTACAGCTTCATTGCTTGGGACAAGAAGAAATCGAGTAACCAGTCTGTGTCTCTCAGCAGCTGTCTATTCCACAAAGCACAAAAACTGAAAGCCACAGATGAATCTTCAGTGTTCAGTCTTAATGCCGTGATAATGTAGAATTGGGTTTAAATTTCCTTTTCTCAATAACAATTAAAAGCCATGAAATTTCAATTATATTTCTAATTGTTTATCTTAAATTGATTAAGAATAGGATTAAACCAACCAGAAACAGCCATTCAAAATCAAAGTATGTGCTGCTGTAGAGGGATTTACAACAGCTTCAAAGACAGGCAAAGCCCCAGCCCCAGTGGGAGGTTACTCAACTGCTTAATAGGAGAACAAGAGCCTTCACCGATCCCCTGTCATTTCCTTTCCCTCAGCACTGAAGAATATAACACAAAATTATACACTGTATAATGAAACTAGATTGAAAAGATGCCAGTTTGTATGTAGTCAAGATCCGTAGGGTAAAATACATGTTTATTCTTTGCAGTTGACAGAGAAACTGATTCATAGAATGTGAAATCGGGATGAGTAACAGGCAAAAACTAATTGTGAAAAAATGCCAGCATTTTAATGCATGGAATATATTCCATCCTTCATTTATATATGGCACATTAGAACTTGCAGTGAGAATGAAGCAGATCCTGAACCTAAAAAACCCTTGATTAGCCCTGACAAAGAAATGGAAAAGAAAGTTCATTTCCACAAAAGTGGTTGGGCCCATTACATCCTACTTGTAATTTTAACCCAAATGCCCAGTAGGCATGATTTCAATTATCTTTACATTATTATAAAAACCAGGTTTCTCAACCACACACTTTAATAAATATCCTTCAATTTAGGTGTCACCATTTAAATTTTAACATTCCAAATTTTCTAATCTATATAAAACAGTGGCTACTTTTAACAGTTAAGCACTGCTCTGCTTTTCAGAAACATGTAACTCAGAAACAACTGGAGAAAATCTCCTTAACTTTCTTGTCTGCATACAAAGAGTTTTTCAAAAGGTACCAAACATGACAAATGTCAGAGCCCAACCAAACACATTGACTTTTAATGAAATGAATTTGCAATATCAACCATGGCACTCATTGTGAAGTGAGGCAAAACTAGTACAAAGTAAATACAAAACATACAGTACTTATTTACACGTTCACTTTAATTATGTATAACTTACATGTTACTAGCACCTTAGCACCTGAGATCACTAAGACCTGCATTTTGTAGTGATAATGTGGCACAAGTGGCATCCTGAATGGCATATGGCAAACAGAAGTAAAAACAGGCCAAAAGGTACCTACAGAACAAGGAACTACTACTCCCTGTAGTTCCCATCAACAAGCAGAAACTTGCCTGAGCTCACATAATGCAGCTGGGCCTGCTGGGGTATGAAATTATGTGGTGACCTAAGGAATCTGCCTACTACAATGCACAGATCTGTTTGAGATTATGAACTCTCTGCATGCTTCCACCATTGTAACTAGAATGAAATTTTAAACAAGGAAAATACAGCAAATTAACTGGGCACCCGATATTCAATATTAGACTGGAGAAAATAGGGACTAGGGAAAAATTAGCCAGGTAAAGGAATTCCTACCATAGAGAGCAAAGTTCTAAGGAAAATGAAATAATTGTTTTTAGTAGAGTTTGTCAAGGATAAACACTAAGGATTTGGTAGAATTTTGTCAAAAACACTCATTTAATGACTTGCAATTAAAAACGTGGTGGTTACATGAAATTTCTTGGTACTGTCCTTACCAAAAAAAGCAGTGGGATTCTATGAAGAAAGGACAGAATCAACATAAATGAGACTCAATAGGCAGCAATGACAAAGGAATGAAATGCCTGAGACCGTAAAACAGTGAAATGCATATATCAGGATAAGCATTTCTAGAAGAGAATATAAAACATGAATTTCATTTGACAAGTTGTTATGTTCTCATTGGAAAACAGACATGATTTGAGTCATCCATAGAAAAAGCTGGAACAGATGCCTGCAAGGGCTGGTGCAGCTAGCAGCAGTACAGACAATCTCTCACGTGAAAAGAAAACACATACACAAATTAATAAGCTCGAGGAAGAGGAGGTAACTTAATATTAAAACCTATCTGTTATCTACAGATACATTTGGTAGCTACATTTTCTTTGCGGTTTTTGAAATAATCCATAAGGCATAAAAAATGAATCCAGTCAAAGCAAGGGCCTTAAGACCTCCACCCACACCCTTTCAAATTGCAGACAACCTTGAAGAACATAGAAAGAATTGCTTAGAAAGAAGAAAATTAACAAGATCGAGCTACAGGAAGCAACAAAGGACACACATTTAAAGAAGAGCCTGGTCCGGTGCAGCAAACACTACTGACAAGGCAAGAAGAATGGAGATAGACTACTGTTTCTGAGATCCTGTCATCAGGGAGTTTGGTGAGAGCTGTTGCAGTTGCAAGCAAGGAACAGAAGCCAAAGTGTAGGAGTTATAGGAGAGAATCACAGAAGAGGGTCTCCAGACAGTAATTATAAACAGCGCCTTCAATGAGCTTAGAAATGAAGGAGAGATAGGCAATGAGATATGATATGAAGAACCAAGTAGGGTCAAAGGTGCAATTTTTAAGAGGCAAATGCTTGCTTATATTGCAGTGGAAAAGAGCCAGAGGACAACGAGAGGTTAAGAAAGAGAATAAGGGAGGGATGAAATAAGAGGGAGAACAGAACATGGGGTCACTGGGGCAAGTGGAAGGGGTACAGATGGAAACTAGACAAGAAACTCCTGCTGCTCGCCAGTGGAGAAGGAGAAAAGATTACAGAAGAGGAATGACAGAAGGAAGAGCACAGTGTATCTATTTTTCCACATGAGAAAAAGCAAGACATTGTGTGAAGAAAAGAAGCAGAGGGAAAAAGAGGGAAGAGTTTGAGCAATAAGTTATAGAGACAACTGGGATTTAATTTGGGGATTCACTTAAGTTAGAGAATACAGCTGTTTTCTACAAAAGATGGCAAGACTGAAAGAAAAGAGGAATTTGTAATGAAAAAGACTGTCTTGGTCTCAGGATATTCACCAGAGACACTCCTCACTATATGAGCAGAAGCACATATCTGGGAGTTCACAAAGCAGAATTTGCAATGGAAGTGTTTAATTCTAAGTATGTGCTTAAATCTTTGCTGAATGAAGGCCAGGCATTTTAGTAGCTTAACTGTGTCTTTAGCATGCTATCACTAAAAGAACTCAAGCAATTGGGAGCAGAAAGAAGAATTTGCAATACATGAAGTTACCTACAAAGCCGCCTTAGGAACACACAGGTAGATGCTGTTTTTCTCACTCAGGTTTTATGAGACCAATTACTTCCTTTAGTAAAAAAAGTGATAAAAAGATCCCTACTTGCATCCCCAGGCAGAGTTTGCCCAGTGTCTTGCATGTTTTTTCAGAATTCACTGCAGGTGAGGATCATGTGAGTTTCTCCTAAATTGCCTTCTATGCATATAACAACAATTTAAAACACAAAACCCAACAAATTTACTGTGTAATATTTTGGACAAAAATGCTGAACAGCCTCTGGGGATGGGGAGGGATAAGGAAGAGGAAGAGAGTTTTCAATTTCTTCCAATAAGCCAAAACTAAATTGCTGTGCTCCACAGATGCTATAGACAGTATAAAGTCTCTGAGATCAAGGTGACTAGTAGCAGTGATAATCACCACACCAGCCCAATGACTGTGAAATGTAGGATACAAAACCACAAACAGGGTAAATGAACAAACTTTTCATAACCAAAGTGTTAAAATGAAAATGAATCCAAGCAGAAACTCAACTCCATGTTGTAATCAGACCTTTGTCAGCTTGTTTCAGCAAAAGTTCAAGAGCCAGATCCACAGCTGCTACCACAGCTGGAAGCACAGAGCCTCCTGAGAAGCCAGTTGCAGACTCAGATGCTGCTGTTTCCTGTTTATTATTATAGTGTAAGTTCGCATATAATTTACCATGTTCACTGCAGATGTATTTATTTTTATTGGATGTTCGTACTAAAATGTATATGCCTATCATTTGGTAAATTCATAATATTAAGGTTGATATATTCTGTCTCTTTGCAAAGGAAGCCATTTGTTAGAAACACACAATCTTTACTGTAAGGAGAGGGTAATACAAAGAAGAGAGGGGGGAAAGGAGATTGTTCTAGAAACAAAATCTCCAAGACAGCCTCAAAATGTATAAATAAGTTGAAGATATTATAAGTACTTAAAAAAAAAACAAAAAAGTCCAGAAAACACCACTGAATTCCATGAATGATTTTTCAACCTCTCTAAAAACAAAATACTATTACTATACTGAAGGGCCATTTCAGGGTTAGTAACTATGACTAATTATTCAAGCAATAATCAGTAACATACTACCAAGCACTGCGTGGTTATCTATTTTATGATTTCATAC